TTGCTCACTAGTAGAGGTGGGCATTTTTTCCCAGAACCAGTGAAACAGGACTGAAACTGGATAGATACGGTCGGTTCAGTTCCTTTATTAAATGGATCGGTTTTGGGATCATACATCGAGAACCGAATGATTATAGTCTGGTTCTTGATACTGTCTTAAAAACAAATGGTGAATTCGGTTATCCCTAGTTTCTCTTTTTGTTGGTATATTACACAAACATCCACTAGATATTTGAACACCGGCTCTAAAATTATCTCACGTCAAAATTTTACTATCAATATAATTCTTCTTCTTACTTTTACAGAAAAACTTAATGGGTAATCAATATTTAAATATAAATAATTTTATAAATACTTTACAAAAATTCATAGATTTAATACAACTCCAATATGAAAAAGTGTATTTTCAGTTCAATCTTTCCTAAGAACTCATGTTTCTCGTTATTTTCGAAATGATCGATCATTAGAATCAAGATCTTCTCCTTGAAGATAATCTGATTCCAAATACTACATACATTTTTTTAAATATATATTGTTGTATAAATTTTGTTACCGACTAATTTTTTTTTTTTTTTTAATCTAGATTTTATAGTTCATATTGCGTTTAATAGTTTATCATTTTTATGCCCTTATTAATTGTTCTTGAGTTTTGGAGTTTTTTTGTTTATTGCATTGTTTAATTAAATATATTTTATCTTTTTTTTTTTATTTGACAACTAGTTTAATACTTTATTTTTAAAAAAATTGTAATATAAAGAATCGAATAGGATCAAACCAAAACAGGGAATCGGACCGAGCCTACTCGTACTCACTAGAATACTAGGTTTAATTCGATAAATTAGGATAAATTCTTCATAAAAAATTTGCTATGTGATTAGAGTTACAATTGATTGACACCAGGACCTTGTTTGATCTCCATTTGTATTAAAATACATTTTTCTCTAACTTCTTTTCAACAACACAACTTTCAATAGAATAATATTACACACAACCTAAAAACTTTTTCTTTCATTTTTAACATTACATTCTCTGTCAATCTACTATTTTAAAATGCATTTTACAAAAAAATGAGGTTCAAACATGCTCTAAATTAAAACACGATATCCTACTTTTTTACTTTATAACTTGTTAGCGATAACGTATACTAACGAAAAATCATACGATCACGTAGCAAGGGAAGAAATACATTTTTCAAAGAAGAAATCAGCATATTTGAGTCTACAAAATTGAATACCCAGGAAATGAGAAAGAATGATTTTGGTTTGCAACATGGGAAGTAAAGAATACTGAGTATTTGCAAGTTGAATTTTACTGTAGAAATAGGAAATCTAACTTTGAGGCCACACGATCCAATGGGACCCAGTGTCGCCAACTGGCCACTGAATTTTGTTTTGATTTCGCCGACAATCGCCATTGCACGTCCCCACTCTCAGCGGCCAGCGCTTTGTTTTGCTCTCATTTTTTTTTATTTTTTATTTTTAAAAAGAACTTTTTGGAATGGAATAATAATTTTTTAAAGAATGTTTGATTAAAAAATATGAAAAAAAATTGAATTTATATACAAAATACTTTATTGTGAGAATTTATGATTGAAAATGATTTTGAAAAAAAAAATTATAAAAATGTTTGTCAAACAAGGACTTAATAGTTTTCACACATAAATACTGAATCACTAACGCCCCATTTGGTTTGTTTTTCAATTTTGAGTTTTGAATTCATTTTTAATATTTTTTAGGGTCTATTTTAAAATTACTAATATGTTTTTGATTTGTCATTTTGAAAAATTATTTCTCAAAACAGCAAATTAAAAAATATGTTTAATTTGAAATACTGAGAAATTGTTTTATGATAAATTTGATTATTCGGCAAAATAAAATTATTTTATTTTATATTACCAACTAATATATACATTTAAAAGTTGATAGATCTTATAATATTTTTTTTTGCTACAAAAGTAAAACAAGTGCAAATAATAAATTGAGTTGGTGAAACATAAAAAATAAGAAATAAAAATTAATTAAATGGATCAATAATTTTTATCGATGTATTTTTAAATTTTTTTTTGAATTTTTATGTAAATAATCATTAATAATTTGAAATATTTTTATTTTCTATAATTTTGTTTAGATTTTTATTTTTTCAAAATTTTTATTTTAGAGTTTTCAAAGGTCATCAATTTTTTTTTATTTAGATTTTCATTTTTTTAAAAAAAAATTAGTTTTTAAAATGTTATTTACCTTAAAGGCTTTATTTCCATGGTTTCTCCTAAACACTCAAAATGTCAATAATACATTTTGAGTTTTATGTTATAAGTTTAACATTATTTTCTAAAATACATTTTCAAAACAGTAGATCAAATAAGTTTTGAATATTTTACAAAATTGAAAATAACTTGAAAATAGCAAACCAAATGTATCCTAAAAAATTTATTTTGATCTTTATACAATGACCTTTAATTTTGTATATCTATATTTAACAGAGTTGATCTTTAACCCACAGTGGACGTGATAAACTTTGCCCATCTTTGTCACGTCCACAAGTCAAGCCACTTTTTTTTTTTAACAAAAAAAAAAAGTTTTGATCCGACGATGTGGCAACAACTTTGACGGTTGGGCAACATAACTATTATTCACTGTGAGCGGAAGATCAATTCTGCTATCTTTAACACACTGTGGCTAATTGATTTATGCATAAGGAGAAACTAATTTCTTAGCCTCCATTGTCAAAAAAATAAAAATAGATAAGAAAAATATAAGTAATGAACAAATGAATAGTTCATTAGAATACGCGATTAAAAATAAAACTAGACAATTTAAATTAAATATAAATTAGCTAAACATATGCTTACTTATACTTTACATTTTTGAAGTGTGGACAAGTAAGGATCTCTCTAAAATTTAGGGGTGGACAAAGGTTATCAGAATATTGAATTTAACTAGAATCGAATTTGGATCCCGATCTGCCAGTTTAGTCAATTCTACTCAAGTTCTTATTGATTATGGGTATTAAAATCGAGAATCAGTCGACTTTGATTCAGTTCTCTGTTGTAATATCAAGAACAAAAAAAAAAAACTCATTTTAATCCAAAAAATTAGACACTTCATTTGCATGGGTTAGAGAATTTGAGAATTTAACACAAGATATCAAATGGTTCGATCGTGGTTCGGTTTCATACATAGAGATGGAACCAATGGTTCCATTTTCAAAATATCTATTAGAACTTGGTTTTGTCCGATTCTTTTTAAAATCAGATCGGATCGAATCAAATCGCTCCACTTTTACTAATTTTTATGATAAATTGAATGAAAATGTTAAGCATAATTTGCACATAGAAAAAATAGATCAACATATAAAGATTTAATCTACTCCTTTTGACAAAATTGACATTTTAAGATGAAATTATAAGTTTTAATATGACATAGCTCATTAAGCTCTAATGAAGAATTCAATTCGATTAAGACTTAAATATGTATTTGAAATTCAAGATTGATCTGGTCAAAGAGTGATTATCTTGTAGGAATATGCCAAGAGATAAATATCACATCAAATAATTAGTAAAATATATATCAACATATAAGGGTTTGAGTTATTATCTTTAACAAAGAGCGATTCAAGATTCATTTGGTCAAAAAGCGATTATCTTGTAGGAATATGCCAAGAGATAAATCTCACATCAAATAATTAGGACGTGTTCGATAGATATTAAAATCGGATTAAAATTGAAAAACTAGCCGTTATGATTGATTTTTATTAGACGAGTGGGATTCGATAACGACTATATTTTCAATTTTAATTTGATTTTGAGTTGTACCAAACAAGCTCTTAGTAAAATATTGATCAACATATAAGGGTTTGAGCTACTATCTTTAACAAGATTGCCTTTATAAGAAGGTTTCCCAAATCTTAATAATAATAATAAAAAAAACGATTGATTGAGTTTAACACTACAACAAAAATAAAAAGTTTAGGATTAAAATGTCTCCATTTTAAGGTTGGAGACCATCTTGCTATATAAATCAATAATCGAAGACTGACATTACTAGTTTCCTTTCTTCCATAAAAGTTACTTGATCCTATTTTTCATTTATTTCATTTGTCTAATTTCTTTTCACCAAGACAAGTATTTAAAATAATATCCAAGAGATTCTCTATTTAAAAAAAAAAAAACATATTTACAATTTAGAGGGACTATATACATTTGAAGAGTAAAGTTTTTAAATACTCCAACATCGTAGTTATCTTTAACACTCAAGTGATCCAATATATACAGCATTGAAAATTGAAATATTTTGATTGCATTTTAAAAATTGGAATATTTAAGCGAATTAATAAATATTAATTCGAAGAATCTCTTAGAGCATAATTTTAAGAATCGACTCTTTAAAATAGAGAATATTTCACTTTTAGAGAACCTTTTAAAAATGCTCTAAGCATTTTACTATTACGAAATATATACATGTTAAGATCACACACTAATTCGGAGGTAATTAAACCAAAACAACCTACAGTATAGCATTTTAGCCCATGTTTTGTTCGGTTTGAAAAGTAGATTAAATTTTAAGTCAAAGTCAATAATTAATTTTAATCATGCTAATCGATAACTTTTCAGCTACGTATTCCATAAATTTTTTTATCAAAACTTATTAAAATATAATTTTTTTTTAATTCGATCATGAATTCCCCCTCAAATACAAAATTTTTACGCGTTATTCACTTGTCTGCACGAATCGAATAACAAAAAGTAAAATATCTCGACTTAAAAATTGAAGTGTGGTGTAAATTGCATTTGTAGATCGTAAAACACAGTCTTTTATGCAACTTTTGTACCTGTCACAAACCTTTTGGTCACTACGCGTGAAAATGGCGAACCTGTCGAGGGCAGTCTGGCTGCATTCACATGTACACTGCACAACGTTAAAAAATTTCATTTTCTCTCTCCCTGGCAGATATTTAACCTTCTTTTTTTTTACTTATCTCTCTCCTTCCTCGACGCCTTCTTCAATGGCGAATCCCCATTTTCAATCTCTTTTCCATTTTCTCAGCTTTACAGTTCTAGTATGTCTGGTTTCGGTACATTTCTGTACAGTTTCTTCAGTTGTTTTGGTTAAGTTGAGGAACCACAAGGAGCACCCCCACCAAAGACGCCCAATGCTCTCAGCCAATCAGAGTTCATGCGCATTGTTCTTGGGCACCTGGGTTCGGGACGATAGTTATCCATTGTATCAATCTTCATGTCAATTCATAGACGCACAGTTCAATTGCCAAATGTACGGCAGGCCCGACACTGATTACCTCAAGTATCGATGGCAACCTGCTAATTGCGAAATCCAGAGATTCAACGGCCTTGATTTCTTAATGAAAATGAAAGGGAAAACTGTGATGTTTGTGGGTGATTCGCTGGGGCGTAATCAATGGCAGTCGTTGATTTGCATGATATCAGCTGGGATTTCTTCGGGATCACCTACGCAAATCAGCAAAGGATATCCTCTCTCTACGGTCAAGTTCCAGGTAAGCCTGCAGTTCTATACAATTACCATTGAGAAACTAAACCCCCCATTTTTAATTAACTGTTTATTAAAATGCAGGAGTATGATGTGACGGTGTCGTATTACAAAGCTCTATACCTTGTCGACATTGATATCATACAAGGGAAAAGAGTGCTCAAATTAGATGACATAAGAGGGAATGCTAATGCTTGGAGGGGTGTAGATGTGTTGTTGTTTGACACGGGTCATTGGTGGACACACAAGGGACCACTCCAAGGGTATAACAATTTCTTAGTCGGTTTGACTCGATTCGACTCGATACTGTGATATTTTCTGTCTAATTCGATGTATCGAATATTTTTTTTTTTTGTGGTGATAATGCAGATGGGATTATATGGAATCAGAAGGGAGTTTTTACCAAGATATGGATCCATTAGTTGCTTTAGAGAAAGGGCTAAGGACATGGGGAAGATGGGTTGATAGCAACATTGACACCACCGTAACAAGAGTTTTCTTTCAGAGTTTTTCTCCCTCACATTACAAGTATGTTTCTATCTGGACCCATCTCCCTGTTTTTTTTTTTTA